CATGACAGCGATACTGACCAATAACCATCCCTTTGCTCGAGCTTGACAGTTAGTTCCACCGCCAGCCACAACCGGTCAACGTCGTATTTCGAGACTCCTCCTGCGACATTCCTTTCCGCTTCATGTTCTCCACCAACTATCCTTCTCGAAGTAATTTTCTAACTTAAATTCGCTATTGCTTCGAAATTCGTGTACGTTTTTGGTTACTTGTTTTGAAATTCTAATGTCCAAGCTTAGGACAGTCTTACGTGAATATAACTGACGATTCTGTATTACTATTACTCGTAACTAGGTGTGGATAAAACGAACCCGAAAATTTGGGAGTTGAAACCCTAGATTTGATCGAGATATTTGACACTGTTCTTCTGTTTCTGTGTATTCTTGTTATCATTATGAATATAGGTTCATACTTGTGTAATTCGTATGGCCGAGCAATTAATTTCAGAATTGTATCAGTTTTGATTCATGATTATCGTCCATATATTGTTTATTATGAGGATAAATCTATGTAGAGTCAAATAATCATCCATTTGATTTCTAATTTAATCAGGATTTTCTAAACACTACAACACTATCGAAGAGCTGCAGTAAAAAGACATCTAAATACAATCTTACACTGCACGATTTACCATAGCTGATAATGTAACTTTCATAACGATCATTCAAACACATCCATATGTTAACAGGAATCAGAGGTTAGGCGATTAGGCTAGAGGATTGTTAATATGTTAGGAAATCAGGATCAATAGGTTGCTCCTTATCTGAACAACAAAGGATAAGAAATACATTTTCTTTTATGCTCAAACTTTTGAATCTAATCATGGATCTATTGCTTCTTCAATGGATGTGAATGCCTAACTTTTCATGCTTGATTTCCGGAAAGTCTGAATTGTTTACATTGTTGATTCTTCTAATCTTTATAAATTCCAATTTGTGCAGATCTAAGTGCTATAAACATGGAAAAACAAGATTCTTCACAAAAAGAAAAGACAGCAGATGACCTTCCAAATGTCTTGGTTCTTGGGCCACCTTCTGTTTTCAAAGCTTATGAGAGACAATTCTCAGATAAATTCCATTGTCTAAAACCATGGGAATCCGCTATTCCACTCCACCAATTCCTTTCTACCCATGCAGGTTCTGTACAAGCTATGTTCTGTTCTGTTTCATGCCCCATTACCACTGACATTTTACAGAAGCTGCCTGAGCTTCGTTTTATTGCAACCAGCAGTGTTGGTGTTGACCATATTGACCTCCATGAGTGCAAACGGCTTGGAGTCAAAGTTGCTAATGCTGGCTCAGTTTTCTCAGAGGATGTTGCTGATATGGCTGTGGGTTTGTTGATTGATGTGTTAAGAAGAGTAAGTGCTGCTAATAGCTTTGTTAAGGCTGGATTATGGCACCAGAAAAAAGATTATCCTCTGGCTCACAAGGTTCTCTCTCTCTCTCTCTCTACAAAATAGGTTTGATGTAAGAAATAGCAATGTACTTTTAATGATTGGTTTATTATAGCATTGTACTTTGACAAAACTACCTAAATATAGCGAAGTCATTCAAATTGGAGATTTTTCAATGTATAATATTCTAGTAAGGAAAAAATTATAAAGACAGTGTTATAATTGGGTAGAACTTTCAAAGTACAATGTTGTAATAAAAAGAAATAAAAGTAGGATGCAACAATACACAAATAAATGAAACTCTGTTTTGTGTTCTTATATTTATCCCTTGGAAACAATATTGGGATTTGTTACTATAGTTCATTTACAATGCCTTAATAAAAAGACATTTTAAAAGTACAATGTTGTAGTAGAAAGATTCAGTAGTCGGATGCTATATTACACAAATAAATGAAAGCACATTGCTATTTCTTACATTTAGCCATCAAAATAATATTGGAAAGTACGTTGCTAATTTGGTCTACTAATATATATAAATTCAGTTGGGAGGTAAGCGAGTAGGGGTTGTTGGAGTGGGAAATATTGGTTTAGAGGTCACAAAGAGGCTTAAAGCCTTGGGTTGCATTATCTCATACACTTCTAGAACCAAAAAACTCGATCTCACATTCCCTTTTTTCCCCAATGTTCTACAACTTTCAACAAACTGTGAAATCCTCATCATTTGTTGTGCATTAAACGACCAAACACACCACATGATTGACAAAAACATCATGTTGAATTTAGGAAAACAAGGAGTTATAGTGAACGTAGCCCGAGGGGCAATCGTTAATGAGAAAGAATTGGTGGAGTGTTTAGTGAAAGGGGAAATTGGTGGGGTCGGTTTGGATGTTTTTGAAAATGAACCGGATGTTCCTCACGAGTTATTGAAATTGGATAAAGTTGTGATGACACCACATCATGCGGTGATGACTCAGGAATCTTTCAGGGGTCTTTTTGAGGTTGTGGTTCGGAATTTGGATGCTTTTTTCGTGAATAAACCTTTGAGGTTTGAAGTGTATAGCAGGGATGACTAAATTGGATGAGGATTTAGATACGCTTTTTCTATATAAAATAATTTGTGATGTAAATGTGAAATAATTCCTTCCAAATTTATCATTAATAGTGGTATATTTTGATTTAAACTATATACTTGAGAGTAAAAAGAACATTGTATTTTGGTTATTTCATATCATAGTACGAGAGCTTCACATATTTGCTTAAATACACGTTATGTCATGTTTCACCGTTAATTTATTATATCATATGAAAATGTTAATTTTGAATAACTTTTATGATTTGTTTGGAAAAAATAAAATATAAATGGTAAATTGTAAAATTATCCAAAATATATTGAGTTTTCAATAATCTATCATATATTTACCCCACTTTTTCTCTCTCTCTCTCTCTCTCTCTCTCTATTATATATAATTATATATATATAGATATATAGATATATATATATATATATATATATATATATATATATAATATATATATATATATATATACACACGAAAAAGTAAATACAACATTAAATCTTAATAACGTTTGATTTAAAATGGATTATTGGTTAATAGGTAAGCATTAGAAAATATAGTATGGTTTTTCTGGTGACAATGTTCATTAGTTTTTCTTTTTGGTGAGGAATGTTTTGGATGTATGGCTGATGGTTAATCCTCTTATTAAATTGAAAAGCAAATCTAACATAAATATTAAGTTATTTTCTAAAAAAATGGCAAAATTAAGCCAATTTAAATAATTGCTATTGAATTTGTAGATCATGCGAAATAGATGTTGACATGTGAAATGATCTTTCAAAAAAAAAAAAAAAAAACCGGTTTTATTTAGGTTATGGGGAGTGGTTACATTCAACCACTCAAAAAGTGTTGTCAACTCAACCTCACTACAAAAAACGCACCATCAAACAACTACCCATTGAAAATGGTTAACATTCTATAATATTTATATTTTTTATTTTAATTTTTTTTACATTAAATTAAATAAAAAACATAAATAAATATTTTACATTAATTAAAAACATATTACATTAATTAAAAAATAAAGAAATTTAAAACCTAAATTACTAAAAAAACATAAAAAACATAAAAAATTAAACCTAAATTACTAAAAGAACATATAAAATAAAACTTAAATATTAAAACACTAGAACCTAATTTCCATATTTTTTTGCGGACTTGTTGCATTTTTAAAAACGCGGCTAGATTTTCCGGGTCGAGATCGGGTTGCGGTTTTGTGTTTAAAATTTGAAGATCGGTAATTACTATTTTTCGGCGACGAGCTTTCTCAGTTAATTCAAAATTTTTTCTAGAAAAGTTAGAGTCTTGTCTATTTTTTCCGCAACTACGTCTTCGCAAACCGCTTTTCCGCTTGAAGACCCCGCCTTTCTCGATTTGTTCCTTACCGGTGGTCGACGAAGTTGGACTTCCAGTGGACCCTCCCCCTCGGTGTCGTCGAACTCATCATTGAGGTCGATGCCAAAACCCACGTCAGACTCGGAAGTTCTTGGGCTTTTGTTGGATTCGGTGGTAGATCCCGAATGTGTCATCTCCGGATAAATGACCCATTTTAGATCGTTACGACAAACTTCCGACGCTTTTTGGTTGCCGAATGGTTTACCATTATTGGTAATTTTGTATTGGTAGCATGCGGTAGATAAAATATTGAAATCGTTGCTACCACTTTTGTGCTTATTTTTAAGATTGTCAAATATGCCGTTAAATTTCGTGCAAACCACTCGTAGGTCACGCCATTTTGCATTGACTGAATCGTATGTCCGCTCCGTTTCCCTTCCTAATAGCGCATGAAAGTGGTCTAGAACATGATTCCAAAAACTTTGACCCGATTGCGCGTTCCTGGTGTCACCGACTTACGATATGAAAATCCAAACTTTCGCTAAAGCTTCATCCTCGTCTTCGCTCCATTGCATAGTTCTCTTTTTTTTTTTTGGTTCTTTTCCTTTATTTGCCTTCTTCGAGTTGGTTGTTGTATTTCTTGGACCCGTTCGTCGTCGTTCTTAAGGTTTATAGGTAGGCATTGAGATAATGAGACTTGAGATAGTTGTAAAGGTTGCGCGTGAAATTGTCGAGGTTGAGAAGATTGGGGTTGAAATTGTTGTTGTTGAAAGGTTTAGAATTGGGGTTAATTGAATTGTTGTGATCGTTGTTGTTGGTAGTAGAAAGGTTAAATCATATTATAACTTCAGTCTCTGCTCATTTCTTTTATGAACATTGTCTCTATGGTTTCTAAAACTTTCATTATTGGTCCATGATCCACCAAAAATGACATTTTTACCCTTTCTAATTTATTATATATATATATATATATATATAATATATATATATTATTTAAAAAAAAAATCCCTCCCCCCACCCCACCTCACCCCCAGTAAAAACCTACCTGGTCCCTTTATCTGAATTTTCCCGTTGGAGGTTCTTTGTCACTCCCACCGTCGGCTTCAAACACCCACCCACGATTAAACCTAGTCGTTGTTGATAAGGCCTCGTCGTTTCTCTCCCTCTCTGGTAGGCACCCTCAGTCCCCCATCCTCGCCTTCCTTTCCTCCCAAGGATTCCCAAACATGTGATTTCCTAACGTACAAATCCAGATCGCCGATGGGGATTTCTCACTACTGTCAGGAAGACTATCCACTGTCTCAATCTCCTCATCTTTCAACTTGTTTGGTAATAAAACTTAATTTTTTGATGAAGAATTTCTTGATTTTTCTAGTTTTGATATTCAATTATAGAGCAATGTTTTGGTGTGTTCGATTTTCTTACCTCAATTTATTTGTATTACTATTACCTCAATCGATTTTCTTACCTCAATGTAGGAAGACTATTCACCGTCTCCCACTAACAGAGTTTATTCTTTAACCTTTTGTAGATAGATGTTGCAATTAACTCAGGGAAATCTGGTGGGCATGTCTTCAATGAAAATGGAAATTTGTGTGTTGGACCTACCTTCTATTTCTCCCCCTTCACCTTTTTTAATTCGATGTTAGCCACCATTAGAGTAGTCAGAGTAAAGACCTTCTATTCATGTCACCGCCATCACCGTCATCTTATATGGATTTTTTCACCGGAGGACATCGAATCAACAAACGATCCTGAAGACATTGTAATAACCACACGTGAATCACACAAGTTTGAACAGTTCAACTTTAGTCCTAGTCTTTTGTGTACCATTGTGTAGTGGCGCATAATTAGGATGTATTCAATTCCTTACTGTATATTGTATATAACTACCGATGTATAACTCTAGTATCAATAACATAGGAAGATATTAAATTCAACATCACAGTGTTCACTTATATGGTATACAGGGCCATATAACTTTTCTCCCTTTCGATTCTTACCTCTACCTGCTCTCAAATGGCTTTTTCCAGCACTTCTCTATTGGCACACGCTACTTCTACATCAGGTGCCGTCAGTTTTTAACTTCCTCCGATCAACATTAAGCTTGATCGAGACAATTACTGCTTATGGAGCTCCAAAGTCATCTCTTCCCTAGAGACATTTGATTTGGAATCCTTCATCTTCAAATCCGATTCTCCTCCTGCTACCTACGTGTCGAGCGACTTTGAAGACGACGCCGCTCCTGCCCCCAAACCTAATCCTGATCATGTTCGCTGGAAGAAACAAGACCACTTCGTTCTTCTATGGATTTAAACCACACTCTCTGAACGGGCTCTCTCTTTAGTTGTTCGGGCCCCCACTTCCTTTGACACCTGGACCATTCTTGAAAAGTCGTTCCAGTCCCAAACAAGAGCCTGCAGAATGGCGATGAAAGTCCAAGTCCAAACTATCTCCAAAGGATCCCTCTCGATGATCGACTATATTGATCGTAAGAGGTCTATTGCAGACTCTCTTGCTGAGAGTGACTATTCGATTCCCGACGAAGACTTAATTGGCTATATTCTCACAGGCCTCGATTCCTCGTATGCTTCGTTTGCTACTGCCTTTATGATGAAATCAGATACAAGATAACGTATCAGTTGATGATCTGGTCAGCTTTCTCCTACAAGAGGAAGCTCGAATTGAATATGACCACAATCGTCAGACCCAAGTGCTTCCTTCACCTGTCACCCTGGCACGAACTCATCAGCTCTGACCACAAATCGTTCCTCAACCAGATCATACTCCAACTACAATCCCACTGTCAGATCATCGCCGACAACCAACAACTCCAATGGCCTCCCCTCCACTCGCACCACCGACTCTCGCTGGAGACGCCCCATGTTCCAACTGTGTAGCTGTCCCGGAAATGAGGCCATAGACTGTTGGCAACGCAATAACCAGACAGACTCTCCCTCCAGACACATTAATCCTCGCGACTCTTCCCGCCAGGTCAATACTGCTCAAGCTGCCACTTCTTCAACTGTAATGGACCCAGCTTGGTACTTTGACACTGGAGCAACTGATCATGTCACTCCTGACATGCAAAAACTTCAGCTTGCAGAGGACTATACTGGTACCGACAAAATAAAGGTTGGAAATGGTAATCATATGTCCATTTCTCATGTTGGCTTCAGTTCTTTGCATAATCTTTGCTTGCCATCTGTTTTTGTTGTTCCAAACTTGACCAAAAATCTTCTTAGTGTGTCTCAGTTAACACGAGACAATGATGTGTACATGGAATTATGGCCTAACCATTGCACTGTTAAGAATATGTAGGGCAAAACACTTCTGCAGGGGGACGTTAATCATGGCTTATATCGGGTCCCAAACACCACCAATAAGTGCTCTTCTCTCATGGCTCTTTCGGGTGTTCACACTTCTGTTCATGGTTGGCACCAAAGACTTGCTCATCCACACGAGCCTCTCTTGCGCAAACTTATCTCTTCCTTTCAGCTTCCCGTCTCTTCCAACAAATTTCCAACTGTGTGCGACTCCTGTCAATTAGGAAAAAGTCGTCGTTTACATCTACCTGTCTCTCACATAAATTCATCTTCTCCTTTCGATTTAGTGTATTCGGATGTTTGGGGTCCCGCCCCGTTATTTTCACTTAATGGAAATCTCTACTTCTTGCTTTTTATTGATGATTGCACCAAATATGTTTGGATTTATTTTTTATCTACCAAATCACAGGTCTTCTCCAAATTTGTCCAATTTAAACAAATGGTTAAAACCCAAT